TCCATGAGGAAACTAAGGATCAGAGGTCAAAAGGCCTGGCACCAGGTCACTCCACTAGAAAGCCAAGAAACGGATTTGAAATCAGACTTAAAAGCCAGTGATGATCCATCTGCCACGTTCATCCCGTCCTCCTCCTGCAGCCAGACAACAGATTCCAAACCAAAGCTGGGAAGCCTGCCTTCCTCTCCTCTTCCAGGCACATTCATGAACTGCTGGAATCCCCTCCCATCACCACCCTTTTCCGTCAAGCGGTGAAGGCCTCCTATCCTCGCGTACATTCTCCTCACACGCTTCTCCTCGTGGGGGCTGTGCATTCATAGACCTGATGGCTTCCCCTGCTGAGTAAATAAGCTTGAGATCATACATCTTTCAGCAAAGGTTCCTTTCACACATCCACCAGTGTTGGCTACACAAGAATCCTGTCCTCACACGATTCTTCTGTTGACCAGCCCTGCAGTCCTATTCACCCTGGACACTTCCGTCATCCTAGACAGCCTTGTTCCTGCCTAACATTATGACCTGTTCCTCCTCGTGGAGCCACACAGGCCTTACGCACGCCACGCTGTTTGTGCTTCCGGTCCTCTTGTGGTCGTTCATCCCATGCTCACGAGGTTTCACTGAGCTCCTCGGGGCTCCCCTGTGCCCCTCTCTCTCTGGCTCCTCTGACTGCTTGCCAGCTTTACCCGGCGCTCCAGGCTCCTCCCCTCTGTGACTCTCCACCTTCGGCAACTTGTGTCCCACCTACAGCTGGCCTGTTATCTCCATCTGCTCTAGTTTCTGCCTCCATCTCTTTCTCTGAAAGCTCCTCTTCCCTTCCCTTTCTTTCCTCCTCTGTGCACTTCAGACGAAAACGGCCCTGTCTGAAGTCTTCTTTCTGAGCTCAGCGTCCCATTCTCACGGCTCACTGCCCCTTCTGGCTTTCTTCTTATGCCTCTTGTTTATCCCTCATTACTTCATCACTTTCCTTCTCCATGACCCTAAATCTCTCATCTTCATTGAATACTGCTCCCTTTCACAAACTTGTCCTTCCCTTACCCACTCTGAAGCCTCAACAATATTATTTCAAAACGTGTCACCAGCTCTGTATTGCTTCTTTCAGTCAGGGCCCTTGAAGCTATTCCAGCTGTGCTTGCCTCCTTTTTATGTCATTCTTTTAGATAAATGTTCAAAGATCCTCTCTTTTACACGACAAGGGTAACCGTGAATTCATGCCTCAACCCTTCGTCTTAGTTTAAACAGAAGGCATAGCTGGAAGCTTCTTTTATGCACCCCAACACACACACGCTCTGTTCACCATTCCTGTTGTCACTGTCTCGGCTCTGGTCCTAATTATTTCTCTCCTACTCCCCTAACCTACAGCCCTGACTTATTTCTTGTCAATTTCCATCTGCTCTTCACACCCTCTACTCTAGACTGATTTCAAAAAGCAGATTTGATCCATTAATTCCCCAGATTACAAGGCTCCAATGGGTCCCCATTACTTTCAACATAAAGTCAAAATTCTCCAGTACGCAATGTAAGGCACTTCGTGATCTGGTCCCCGCCTACCACCGCAAGCTCAGACTACTCCACTCACCACCAGCCCAGCTCACTGGAGAACAGGAATATGGGACCACTTTGCACATACGTAGGTGCAGGCATGGGAAACACACCATGGTAGTTCATGGTGCCATGCCTTTAATATGATGTTCTTGTATAGAGAATGCCCTTCCCATCTCATTATACATAGAATGAACTCATATTATCCTTTATCTTTGCTTCTCTTATCCTTTTAGCCTCAGCTCAACAAAAGAAATAAAAGATAGATGGAGGCAGGAAGAAAGGGAGACAAGGAGGGAAGGAGCAAGCAACTACATAGCACACTCAGGTAATTTCTTGACCAATAGATAACTTATATCCCTCTATCAATTATAACTAAATTGTTCCTCACATAAAATGTACGGTGGGTAACTAGCCCTACACGTCCTTTGACACAGTCATTTGGACACCCAGATGCCTCATTATAAATCAGCATGATAATAACTACAATAAAAATAATAACTAATATCGCATACTTCAGAAAACTTCTGAGTTCTTCACTGCTATTAACTCATGTATGCCTCGGTGAATGGTGAGGAGACACAAACACGTTAATTAATTTGCTCAAAGCCATACAGCTTTTAGAGAAGAGCCAAGTTCCAACCCCAAAGCCAATGCTGTTAACTTCTACACCAAGACAGCATCTGCGGTGTGCTATCTTAAGTGGTACTATTAACCCAGACCAAACCTTCTTTAACGAGTCCTCAATGTCTCACAGGCTCGCTGTCTTATTACAGACAATGGGCGTTTTGGCCCTGCGCGGTCCTCTTAAACGGAGCACAACATTCTTCCAGAAGCCCGTCACGGTGAAAAGAATATGGAGTTTGAATGAGAAGATCTGATGGGATTCCAGTTCTGTCTACATTACTCATTAGCTGTGGGGCCTTAGGCAAATCATTTAACTTGGCCCTCAATTCCTGCCTGTAACGGAGATATTAACGCCTCCCCTCAGAGGGATGCTCTAAAGCATAGATGAGATCATTGTCTATAAAAATATTTTGCAAAAGGTACTCATTTCAATTCCAGCAGTCCTAGTCGGACACCAAAATAATCACGATTATTCTCCTGATATGAACACCACATGGAGCTCCTTAATTTGTGGACACTGAAATACTGCAAGCATGTGCCCCGAATTCCCCCCAGCTGCGTGAATAATCAGAGCCCTGGCATGCAAGCTTTTTCTGTATTATAAGTCTGGCCCTGTATAAAGTCATTCCTCCTTTCAAATCTTCCCTTGAAAGGGACCCACAGAGATGATTTCAGCTTCCCCTAAGAATGAGACAAGGAGAAATCAAGGAGAAAGAAAAACGAGCTTTGGGCCTTATTTCATTTTTTCAACCTATCATGGTCCTCACAGTTTTAACTTGATTTTTTGCTGTTTTCCCTCTTCTTCCAACTGTAACCATGCTTACTATGGTCCCAGTGGATGCCAGGGAGAAGTCTGTTTTCAGGATATCCAAATTCCCAGCTCCCCTCCTCCAGCTGGGGCTACTGTTCCTTCTACGTCTGCATGCCCCATGGCTCACACAACCCTCTCACTGGCATCCTTCTAACCTCTGAGGATTCATTGGCTTGTTCCTTGCAAACAGTTTAAGCCCTTCAACCCTGTTGCCAGTGACCATGCTTTTTCTCCAGCCATGCAGAAGCAGCTCAGCTGATCCTTACCACAGCCAGCTAGTCACAGAGCTGGGATTTGAACCCAGGTCCCCTGCCCAGAACCAAAGCTCATTCCAGAGTAACACACTAGCTGTACATTTTTGGTTCCAAGAATGTTCATTCGCTCACAAGCATTTAATAGCCCAGCACGATGCTTGGCACTGGGGATACTCTACAAGGCCAAAGGGACACAAAATACTCTCAGAGAGGTATGGACAACGAAGGGGCTGCAACAGAGGCATCTGTTACTTCATGACACATTTTGCCAGAAGGACGTAGCAGTAATGACTATAGCAACTCACAAGTGTTTATTACAGAATCTATCACATATAAGATAATCAAGAAGAGCTATCAAGTCATGTTACTAGTTGCTGTATCTTTAAGATGTAGCTCCCTGATTGGCACACGGGAGGCATACTAAAAATATCAATTAATTAACGCTTCCACATACTTAGTGAAACCTGAATCTCTAAGAGCATGAGTCTTATATGTTTCATGGTTCATTTATTTACTTTATAACAACATTTATTGAACATCTACTATGTGCAAAGATATGTTGCTGGCAAAAAAGAAGACTATAAGACAGTTCATGACTCCAGAGATGTGTCTCTATAATCCATAAACTTGACTCAAGACGTGGCACATTTTCCTTTCCTGCTTTGGCCATTAGCTTAGACTAGCAGTTCTCAATGTTCCAACACCTTGTGATTAGCTTATAAGGGCGGATTTATCCGTTAGCCTTTATCTATCCTATGCGGTACAGTGCGAACAAAGTAGAGACTATTACCTTAGATTTTACCTGATTATTAGAGCCAAAACAGGTAGAGCTTTATTCAAAGCACTCATTTCACTAACACAGCTTGAATTACATTCCACTTTTTCTATCAGACCAACGTCAGACCCAATGGGCATTGTGCTGCAGAGACAGACGGCTGAAGGCAGAGAGCTTCAACCCCGCTGGCCTTCAAATGGAAACACACAGTTACATTAGCCTCCAGTCTCCAAGAACAAAAACCGCCTTTGCGGCTGTCTGAAATACAAGCCATCTCAAGTGCTGTTTACTGAACCTTAAACCTTGACAAAATAGGTGAGTCTCAGGTCCTGAACTCGCTGCAGATTTATCCTTTCCTTAAGGAACTAGAAAGAGACTGAGCTGCGTGCACCACATCCCTTTGTTACGTTGGAATTAGAAGTTAGTGCAGAAGAAAATGCTTTTCACTGAGCCTTCCCTGCAGAGGCATCTGGACGGCAGGGGCCCACCGTGCCCCGGAGCAGTGCTCTAAAGCGGTTTCTGTGAACGCTGTTTCAGTACGTGCTCTGTAAGAACGAGGAGCGGTTCCTCGTCCAAGAAAGCTCAAAATGCTGAGTTACAAAATGTTAAACATATTTCTTTCAGCAGGACTTCTCAGAGTCTTTAACTTGTTCATTATGATAAAATGAGATACGAAATGCAGAGTTTCCCAAACTCATCTGATGAAAGAAAGCCATTATGGGTCTGATTGTCCATGGAATATGGCTTGGGAAACGTGGTGTTGAGATTTTGAAAAAGTTTCCTGATGGATGCAACCTACTTTACATATTTTTTTTTTCTTTTTTTTGAGGAAGATTAGCCCTGAGCTAACAGCTGCCACAAATCCTCCTCTTTTTGCTGAGGAAGACTGGCCCTGAGCTAACATCCGTGCCCATCTTCCTCTACTTTATATGTGGGACGCCTGCCACAGCACGGCTTGACAAGTGGTGCTATGACCACACCCGGGATCCGAACCAGCGACTCCTGGGCCGCCGAAGCAGAAAGTGCAAACTTAACAGCTCCGCCACCGGGCCAGCCCAACATACTCTTTTAGAAAGCATTTACTCATTAAAAATCAGCTTTTTTTGCCATTCTGTCCAATAAAGGAGCAAACAACTACTAAGGTACATGCCCAATCCAACATTACCACTCAGCACCAAGGGGGCCACCTTCTACAGAGGCAGCTTTGCAAAACTCAGCCTTACAAACCAGCTCAAAGCCATTAAATTGGATGTCACATATCATGGGTAACTTAAAGAAGGAACGAATGTCCCCTGAGCCACTACTGTGAGTTAAGAACTGCTTTACATATGGCATCGCATTTAATCTTCAGACAACCCTACAACATTATTATTCCCATTTTGCAGACAAGGAAATCAGGGGCCAGAAAGTAACTTTCCCAGCTGCAAAATAACCAGCATTGAATGCATGTCTGTCTGGTTTAATCTACACTCAGGTATCAATACCACAAAGCTATTCCAAGCCCTTGAACAGTGCTGTCCAAGAGAACTTGCCACAGTGATGGGAATGCCCTCTCCCTGTGCTGTCCACCAGCTCCACCACAGCAGCCAAAAGCCACATGCGGCTACTGAGCACTCACATGTGCCTAGTGCTACTGAGCAACCGGATATTTTATTTTAATTTGTTTAAATTTAAGTAGCCACGTGTGTCCCATGGCTTCCGTCTTGGAGAGTGCAGATCTATGACACTCCTCTCTTAAGTACATAGGCTATTTGACTCAATTTTACAGAAACACCAATCTATCAGTTTTCCACTATCAACCTCTAGTTTTACCTTATATTACTTATAAAAGAGTCAACAGATGCCAAGGGCAGTAGGTCAGAAGGAAAATGGGCATGGGGCAGTGAACCGGCAAATACAGCAGAAGAAAGAAGTGAGGGCAGGAAATACGAGGAAGAGCACAAACTAAAGGAATGTGGCTGGCGAGGGACAGTCCTGGTAGGGCCAACCACTTGACGCATTTTCATAAGCTCTAAGGCGGGCTAGGCAAGGACAGAGGAAGAAGGCACTCGGCAGCCTGGGGTAACTCAGAACGTGTCCAGTGCACTTCAGTGGGCTCCGAGACACCATGTTATGATTCCTTCATCCTATTTGCTATCGCTGAAGCACATGAAAGGCTTGGATGCTCAAAACATTAGACGTGGATTTCAGAAAAACCCATGTAACCTCACATCTCCATGCCAAAAAAGCCAGGTGAATGATGAATAACTGAGTCATAAAGCACTTGCAGGTGTAAGGGGCCAGGTTTTCTGGGGCCCTTTGGGAAGTTGCATCTTTTTTCAACTCTTCTTGCTAACCTTTGACACAGATCCCAGGACTCCACCTTTGGAAAAAAACACTTTTAGCTGTAATTTTGTATCTTGATCATTTGAATGGTTGATGGCAAAGTAAACTGCTGATTGCTCTTTGACGTTACAATGCAAGCCAGCACAGAGGTGGAGAACATGAGCTTTGAAATCACACTATCTGGTTCAAACACTGGTTCTGCCACTTAATAGCTTTGTGACCTTGACCGTGTAGTAGTACTTAATGTCTCTATGCCTCGGTTTCCTCGTCTGTAAAGTGGGGATAAGAATGTAATCTACCTTTCAGGAATCTTCTAACTGCTCACGCAAAGCCAGACTGTAAGCACTTATTATTAGGTCAAGGACCTAGCTCCTGTAACGACCCTGAACAGTCATTTGTCCAGACCAAGTAAGTGGGTTTGTCAATCTATAGGATGACAAGGACAATGTTTCCTCTATATGTCTGTATCTTTCTTACACGGTTCACTTGCGACAATGTAAATAAACATGCTTTAAGAAGGATAAAGCTATAAATAATAATAGTTTATCTTATATTAACATGCTAAGTTTTTTTCTGAGGTCAAAAAGGAACTCTTTATTCAATAGAAATCATAAAATGTTAGAACTAGAAGGGTCCTTGGAAGTCATTTTATGCAGTCCCCCAATCCAGTGTGGCAGTCCTCTACAGGACCCTTTTCCCTCAATTTTTTAAGCCTAGAAAATTTGGGACAGGGAGCACATTATCTCATGTAAACCATTTCACACTTAAACAATTCCTTGAGCCAAAACTTGCTTTTTCTAACCTCTACTTCTTTGATAGGAAACAGAAGAGTTCTAACTCCCATTCCACATGGCAGTTTTTAAAATATTTGAAGCTGGTGACAATGCTCCACACATCCCCAAATACACCCATCCCGGCCAATGACATGCGTCTCAAAGTACAAGCATCTCTGGTTGCCTCTAACGATTTTCTAATTCTTTGACAGACAATCTTTTTTTTTTTGACCATTCAACATTCTTCCTCCACACACACTCTAGTTGGATCAATTTCCATTCCACTAACATTTCTCTAATCTGCTACATTCCAGGCCCAGTGCTGGGCTCTGCGGAAAGCAGCTGAGTTAGGAGACAGCATGCCTAGTATGGGAGGCAGATATGTCCACACATACTGGAGCTTCCACCTGGCTCACAAAGGGCAGAGACAAGAATCCACAATCAACCTCTTCTTTGGGTACTAAATTCTTCCGGCAATCTGCTCCGAGAGTGATCAGGCTTCTTGAGTAGCCTATTGGTGACTTGTATTAACTTAAATCAATTCCCCTTTCCCCGTCTCCTTTATAAGAATGGCCAAATATTCACTACATTCTATTTTGCTATTAATATTAATGGTTTGTGCCTAAGTACAAGACTTTGCATTTAGCCCTTTTAAATCTTACCGTGTTTGACTCAATCAGCCCTTCTCGTGTGTGAACATCAGTTTTAAGCCTATAATTTGGACTTTCTGGTCTCTGTGTCAGCTGCCAATCAGGCAGGTATTCTCCGTCCACTTTCTCCCAATCACGCACAACAAAAACGACTCCCAGGTGACTGACTGCCCACGTCTACCACAGACACCAGGTATTCGAGGCTTTGCATTCACTCAGTTCAGTGAACATTACTGAGCACACTTTTCAAGCAAGGCCCGTAGGCAGGGGAGAGGGTTATAAAGTGAGGGAGACAAGATCACTGCATTTGGGACCTTGGAGCCTTACAGAGGCGACCAACGTGTGTATGAATAACTAGAATGTGAGGCCTAATGCTGGTGCTGTGGGACATGATCAGGAGAGCCATTCACTCCAACTGAGAGGCTCTGAGAAGGCCTGAGAGAGGGGAGGGCAAGGGACCGGGGCCTTGACAGATGAGGAAGCATTCAGCAGGCAGTGGTGGGGAAAAGGGAGAGAACAGAAACTTGTAGGAAATGGGTTTCTAAATGACACAAGTGACATAAGTATTTTTCGTTTGTTTTGGAATATTTTTCTCCCTTCTGGAAACCTTCTTCAGAAGTAGTCAGTGTGTTAACTGTCATCTCACAAACCTCTCCTCAACCACAAAGGGTTCATTGCACTTCCAACTTTTGATTTGGGAGTTTACAATAACATTTATTTCTTTTCAATCTTAAAATGCAAAGCAAAAACACCCCATGTTGACAAGTCAGGGGCAAACTCTTCGAGCCTTTCTTGTGCAACTCTGAATGCCTTAATGACACGTATGCTTGCTACTGTCAGGAAGGCTGGGGATGCTGGCTCCGGGCTTGGGGACGGGCCACAGTGAGGCGTTTCAATGCTTCCTGAGTTCTGTCCCATTCCTCACAGGGTGCCCAATGACATTTCATTTTGTGTGGCCTTTTGCTTCCCTTGAAGGCTGGGTTATGGTCTGAATGTGCGTTCTTCCAGTATGGCAGTCCTCCATCAGGTGAAATGCTGTCGAACTCTGAGGGGCGCTTTTGTTTATAAACAGGCTTTTCACAGTACTTCCCTCCAACTGAGTCTCTAGTTGAAGCTTGAAATGATTAAAGATGTTTGCAGGAGCCAGAGTTGAGGAAGATTTTTTCCATTCTTTTCTCTTGGAGGTCATCAAGTCGCCATACACATCATTCCAGCCACACCAAACCAAAAGGCAATGCAAGTGAGAGTGCCTGCTTTGTAGTGCAAGGGTCGTCTTCCTTTGTGGAGAATGAGGAGACATCTGTGCACAGGGACTGCATCTTACTCGTCTTTGTTTTCTTAGTACTGAGCATAGCACCAAGCATATAGCAGGTGCTTAATATTAATAAACACTGAATAAGAGAATAATATGATGAATGGGTGGATGGCGTAGTTTCCTGATCTCAAGATGGGACTGTCCTAATTAAATACAATTTTAATATTAATTCAAGCCTGAGATTCTAGGCTTATATCATTTTGTGAAATAAATTAGGACATTGAAGGCTATTTACTTGGACAGTGTGCATATGCTGTAGAAGGCAGACCCAGTCTGAGAATCCCAGGAGCCTGCAGAGGGCATGTGACCCACTGCCTCCCACCGGTTCGCTGGTCCAGCAAACACAGTGCTAGGGACCAGAATCCTGTCTGTAGACCCTAAAATGTTAAGGCAAAAAGCCCTCATTTTGCAGGTAAGAAAAGTGAGGCTGAGAGAAGAAAGGTGACGTACCCAAGGTCCCATAGCAAGCGAGCTGCATAGCTTGGACTGAGCTTACTGCTGCTTCCCCAGGAAAAGTGATCATTCATATTCAAGGTAGGAAAATGATATGCATCGACTCACGCCATAACAGACCTAATGGACTGAATTAACTCCAAGGTTCCAGCCTTGCAATGAAGACCCAGCGAGTCTAAGAACCGGGAGCCGAGCTGAATTACAAAAGATAATTGCTATAAAACAGACAGTGCCGGACTGTAATCACCTGTCCTACCCTCCCAACACTTGGGGTACTCAGCGACTGACTGTGCCGCTGCCTATGCCTAGCTCTTACTGTATTCAAATTACGGGTAGTTTCCAAAGGATTAGGAGATAAGAGGGCCTCGGAATTATCATTTAAATTTCTTTCAAACCTAAAATACCGCTGGTGTGCTTCTGTTCGACAGCTCCAAAGGCTCATGCTCGTGAGAGCTCACCTCCCAGTAGGAACTGCTGGAGATCTGAAACACCATCACTGAGTGTCTGTACGTCCCTGCAAGGATGGACAACGCATCAGTATTGGAGCATTTATTTTTCAGGTTATTTTTAATGCGTGAGGTGGGGAAATAATAAAACAATAGGCTTTCAGTCTGTGAAGCTGTTCTATCTGAACACTTGAACCCCCAGGCCTGCCACCCCGAGCCCCTCTACCTAAAATGGTTCTTGGCACACAGTAGGCACTTACTTCAAGTGGCTGAATGAATAAATGTTGTGAAAGGTAGTCCGATCCGCCCATGAACTCTCCAGCTGAAAGAACCGAGCTGCAGGTTCTTTCCACAACAACATGGTGAACCTATACACGCCGCTCTATGAAGTAAGATTATTAAAGTACCTAGTGCCAATATCTTTTTTTTTTTTTAACAAGCCACAAGGAGTGTTTTTCCCATTGTCTCTAGTTAATAGTAACATCTTACGTTCGTCTGCGGAAACTTCCCAAGTGCAGGCCCTGAGTTATCCCCTGTAGCCTGGGCTGTTTGAGACACTGTCCTCACGTGAATCCACCGCATCACCATTCAGGGATGCTGAGGAAGAGACGCAATCAGAGCATGTGCCCTTCTAGACACATTACACAATTCATACACAGTGCAATCACGAAACGGGATTCAGTCAGTCCCAGGCACTGACGGTGGTGTGGCTCAAACCTGATTCTCTAGGGGACAGCACCATTCTCATTGCTTTGGGGAGATGTATCCACATTGCCTTGCTTTGCAGACCAGCTCTCCCAGAGTCCATGCAAAAACAATCTCAAAACATCAAACACCAGCAAAGAAGGTGGGTGCTCTCTTTTCTTTCTTAAAAGCACTAGAATGACCTTGCCAAAAAGGCCACATATTGACATGATGGGAAGTAACACAGCATGGCTGCACCATAAGGCGCTGAGGAATTGGAAATGTATAAAAGGACTCCATTATGTGCATGAAATGATTTACCTCTCCAGTCAACTGCAAAAAGTTAGCATTTCATATACATTAAAATAAAAACTCCCTGAGAAACTACTGAATTACTTGACATGATGGACCTAAGCAATCCCACCACAACGCTATAGAAGTCCCTTTGCAGACATACTTATATCTGTATTTGTTTTTGTCTTTCCCTGGAAGATTTCTAATCGATGGTTGCCAAACATTTCTTGAGTGTCTCGTTGCAAAATACTTTTCATATATGGACAAATACTTAGGAAAAGTGGCTGCCCTCAAGGAGCTCACATCTTTGTGAGGAGGACAAGACACATAAAAATGCCCACTCTGATATGCAATATCATCTGTAGAAAGTACAGTAAGAACAGAGCAGGACAGAGCCCAGCCAAGGGAATCTGAGAAAGCTTTTGAGAGAGCGGAGAGCGTGTGCATGTGACCCTGAACTGTAGGCTCATCCGCAGCGTTACTGCAGGTGAACGCAGTACCACGTGGGCAACATGTGAGGGTCAGAGTGGGCAGGGATCTCAGAGATGGTTCATCCACACCCTTCTTTCTCAGTTGAGAGTACGTGGGTCCAGGGAAGTCAAGTAAGTAGCTCAAGGATACACTGATCTTCTACCTGACCTGATAACAGAACCCACTGTCCTATCGTATCCACGGCCTCCCTGCCACACAGCCCATCGGTGCTTCACTTCTTTCATCTGCACACAGGTCACCCAGTTCAGCACAGGTGACTCTGCAGAGGTGACCACAGGGTTTCACTAAGACTGAGCTCCATGTTTTCAGTGCCTCTAAAATATGGAGACCTTGTCTATGATTCCAGCTGAAATATAGCAGCACTAAAAAGTGAGCTGTGTCCACGACATGGCCTGCATCATTATGCAACAATGACTAACTAGTTACAGGCTGATAATATATTAGGTGACACAACATCTGGACTGAGGTCCCTACCACCACTCCTGCCACAATGAAAATGAAGTAAAAATAGATAAAGAAAAGACCCCTAATCTCACAGTACAGTAGATGTTAGGACAAGAAAAGAACCTATGAGGTCAATCTCATCTTATAGTCGGGGAATATTAATTTGCTGACATGCTTTCTGCTGGAGAGTTTAAAGCAAATTTGGCATAAACGGTGCTACAAAGCTTCAACCTTTCTTACGAGGCTGAGCAAAAACAGTAAAAAGGAACCAGTTTTAGTCACCACATTTTATTACACAAAAGGCTGAATCAGAAAATTGGAATATTAATAAAATGTTTTCGACAAGGAATCTGATGAAATAAATAGCTTCGCACTTTCATGAAGATCTGATGGGTTTCGGTCACGTTTAAGGCCAGTGACTCCCTTCTTGTAATTACTAATAGGGATGGCTTAATTACACCTCTAAGTCCCAAGATATTGCTGCAATACACCAGCTGGGGACTGAAGTGCCCACTCTCTTCCAGATTCCTGGATTATCTGGAGTCTGACATGCAAATCCCATCAGCTTTGATTCTGATACTTCTAGAAAGGGGCGAAGGCAATCTATCTTTTGCTTTATTCATAAGGAAAAGTAATCACAAGAGATGTATCGATTTACTTACCTTTTAACTCTCTGGGCCACAGTCACCTACTTCCTAGCCAGCTTATGAGCACACTGTCACAAACCAGAAGAGCAAGACTAGACAGGATCCAAACTTCCCAATGCTTTCAGAATTGAAAGCCACACCTCAGGACCCTCCTCTGGATGAGGAAGTGGTCCCATTACATGATAGAAGCAGGCTTTGTGAATCGAAAGCAATTCACAGGACAGAAAATCTTTCCCCTCCCCCAAAAAAACTGGCCTTTCTAAGAAGAGAACTGGGGAACCAGCAATGCTTCAAAGTCACAGTGCCGTGAGCATCGATCGTGTAGCGTGTACCTGCCTGCCAAGCACGCATTTCCCACCCTGACTTTCCTTTGGCATATAAGCCTCTTACCCCAAATTTAGTCTATGTAGTTTGATGGGGCTGACCTCATCCTCTGGCTCCATAGGTGGGCCTGAGGCCCAGTGATGATCAATAGGCATGAATTGTACTTCCCCCACCCTGACCTCAGTGACTGATTCAGGAATGGAGAGCAAGTCCTTTGAGAGCCAGTCCCAGGCCATTCTGCGGAGCTAGTAGTGGAAAAGGCCTCTCTCGTTCTGCCAGGGTTGCTAAGCTAGTAGGATGTAGTCCCATATTGTTGGGGGCCATCACTGCCACTGCTTTGGGAAAGCCCTCTAATAAAACCAACACAGAGAAAGTAAAGCTGGCATGCGGAAACAAGGTTGATTGAGCTCTCAGCTCCAACTATGGCTGCAGCCAGACCACACCTAGACTTGGAGATGTGAACCAAGAAATTCCCTTTAGACTGAAGTCACACTAAGCTAGATTCTTGTCAATGACAATCTGAAGAGTACTCACACAGGCAACATTTTAAGTTCCGATTTCTTATTTAACGTAGCAGCAGGCATGTGAGGCACCCTCTATCAACTCCCCGTCAAAATAAAAAGAATGTATACATAGAAAGGGAAAATGCAATATCTTGAGACTGTACCAGAGATTAAAAGACCAGAAGAAAGAGCCAAATGTTCTCTGGATATGTCTGTATGAAAAACAAAATCTCAACCTAAGTCCACTCTACTTTTTGAACCAGAACAGAACAAGCCCATGCCATCCAATATGGCAGCCACTAGCCACATGAGGCTATTCAAACTACAATTAAATAATGTTAAAAATTTTTTTAAGTCAGTTTCTCAATCATACTAGCTACATTTCAACTGCTCAATAGCCATGCATGGCTAGTGGTTACTATATTGACCAGTGCAGGTAGAGAACATTCTCATTATCACCAAAAGTTCCAACAGAGAATGCCGGCAGTAATTCCGCCAATTCCACATGTGGGGTGTAGTCACTATACTAACCAGAAAATCAAGCTGCTACCAAAGATTGACGAATGAAGATATTCATCAAAGAATTATTTATAATAAAGAAAGAGTGAGGTGAGCAACAACTTAAATATACAAGGGAAAGAGTTAAACGATGATCAGGCATGTAAAGAAACATTAGGTAACTGTTATAAAGGACATTTAAAGAGAGTTTTTTTAAAGAGATATAATAACAATAGGTTTTTCTTTTTACAAAAGAAAAATAGTGTATTCACAACATGAATTCTACAAAGTAAAATGTTTATAGCAAAAAGAATAGAAAAATATAATAGCTCATTTTTTTAATGTTTCCTATGTGCCAAGTAATGTACCACATGCTTAATATGCATTATCTGGTTTAATAAAATATCGGATCAGATAGATAATATCTTTCTTTTTATTTCACAGATGAGAAAAATAAGACTCGGCAAGATTAAATAAATGGAGGAGCCTGGACTGAGACCTTTGTTGGTCTGACCTCAAACTCTAGTCCCTTTATCTCTGCAACTCAAAATATTAACAGTGATCACCTCTGGGTAGAAATATGACATGTGACTTTTTTTCTCTTTCATACTTTTTTGTATTTTTCAAATTCAATAAACAAGGGATTACTTCTTAGGAAAAAAAATTCTGAAAGAAAAATTCCTTAAACGTGACTAGAGCCATGATGTGGTTAAAAAACGACTGCTGCATGCGATGGATTCCTTCTGAAAACGGGTTAATTATGAACACTAGGAGCTTTCATATTCTGCTGAAGATCCTGTTCAAATCTAATTTCTCAAAGTATATTGCTAGATGCTAATGAAAACCCAAAGAGACACACGCCTTCAGGAGATGTATAGCCAATGAATTTTCTGTTGTTTTTATAGTGAACAACTTTTTTATATCCTAACATTTTTACGCCAGCCATGAAAAAGATAAATAAATATTTATGACATTCACTCAATTCCACAGTAACTACTAAGTTGCTCATGTTCTCACTTTGGTTTGAAATGTGCATATTTTCGTGGCTGGGAGTCTCGACCCCAAATGAGAAAGCCCCAGAAGGCTGTCCTTTCCAGACCCTAAAACTACTCATTTGACTCCCCAAAGGGATCTGTCTTGTAACAGGATGGAACCAGCTCAACCAAGGCAGCTGTAGGCTGGACAGACACAGACCCAGTGCCGCCCAACAAACAGCCACGGACACAGCAGCATTGCTATGGACACTGGTTTTACTCAGGTTTTACCTGGTATCAGAAGTGTTCGATCAAGAACCACAAACAAGGTGATTCAGGAAACCCGCAGGAATAAATGAGGACTGATCGCAACCATTCACCTGTCTTTCAGAAACTTTCCTTTACCAAAAATGGCCCAATAAACCCCTCAGTATATTGACTGAGGTTCCACTTGAGGGAGATTTATACAGTGATAACACACGAATTATAAAGAATAGGCCAGAATTCACCATTGGGTGGTTCATGAGCTAAAAACAGCCCACAGGACAGTTATCTTTAGCCTACAAGTGTTTTTTGTTTGTTGTTTGTTTTAACTGATTTAGTGCCAAAGTTTTTAACAGAGGGACTTCCCATTAAAAAAAACCAAGATTTTTCTTGAAAAAGCTGGAGACCTGGCTACTTTGGTCCAGCGTTCCCTTACTGCAGCCGTGGGGTTGGAGCTCAACAGTGGCTTACCCAGTGCTCCCCCACCCTGCCCCCGGACTGGTAAGCTCACTAACGTCAGCCGCGTGGACTTTGCAGGCGCCTGAGCTTCTAGTTGGTATAATACGAGACACCTGAAAGGCCATTAGACTGCCCCACACCTACCACGCAGGTCCTCATTTCACCCAAATCCATACAGTCCGCCCTCCATATCTGCGAGTTTCCCATGCTCAGGGTTCACATCTTCAGATACACAGGGCCAACTGTATTCGTTGTAGTATGCCATTTTACATGAGACTTGAGTGTCCATGGATTTTGATATCTGCAGGGCTTCCTGGAACCCATTGCCCATGGATACCAAGGGACGACCGTATAATCATGTTTCTCCTTAGACTGCTCTTTGGCCCCAGGCAATAGGAGAATGGAAGGAAATGCAGAGGAGGCTACACAAAGAAAAGGCTATTTCACTACCATCTACCCAAGCACAGTCTCCGGGCTAACAGTTGACAACAAGGTGCTCCATGAACTGGCCCTGCTTACCTTCCCAGCCTCACTTTCCCTGGCTCTTGCCACCCCCTTACTTTGTGATCCATCAGTACCACCTTACTTAGGGCTCCCCATACATGCAAGTGTCCATCTCTACCTTAGCGCTGGTCCCTTGACCTAGAACGTACTTCCTTCATGCCTTCATTGATGGTGTCTTCCTCAGCAGACTGCACACACGATTCAGGCAATTAGTTTCTGTCACGCTCACCTTGGAAGCCCAGCATGGTACTCAGAACATACTTATTGCATGAAAGACATACCAGCAAATTCCAAGTCACCTCAAAATGTTTAGCTTAGATGCTGACCCTTCCGTACCCTGGCAAAGTTCATCCTTCTGTCTTATTTTTTGCCTCAGCTAAGACTTTTTGTTGGTCATACTTAGCCACCACATTGCTATCTGTTTATTTGTGCTTTCTGGACTAATCCTGGATTTTGAGGAGAAAGCCTGTGTCTTTTTTACGGCTATATCCATGGAGCCCACCACTGTGCCAGTACCCTGCAGGGGCTCAAGATATACTGGGTAAATGGATAAAGTAATAGAGCACAAGGTCCTTTCCCAGAAATCCTTACTCCTTGTCACGGACACAGAGGTGCCACTATCCTCCTCGTCACCATCAGCATAATCCTCATCAAAACTGTCATCATTGCCACCAGCACCACCACCTCCATCAGACAGAGAGCAGAAACCCAGTGCACGCAGCTTTATGCAAAGGAGCCAGGGTGCAATGTAAGCCTTTGTGTCTCACGTCGCTGAAGTGCAGCCAAGAGGATGGAGAGGACCAGCATCGCGAGGACCCGACTATTCCACATGTTGCACCCACTTTTTCACACCCTCCCAACTCAAACGTAAAAGGAAACAACTGCCTGTTTAGATCTTGTTCAAGACAAAGTCACCATCATATCAGCAACCTGTAAGGCACCTAGAAGACAGCTAGCCGGATAATGCATGCATAATTCAATTCCAGTAGTGGCAGCCTGACGTCTTTACCCACAGAACATATCTCATATCTTCTTCCTCTGGAGTTTTCTATAAGTTATGGATTAATAAACTTTCCCTAAGAATGCAGCTTTATTAATCTTGCAAAATACTCAGAAAAAGAAAATATTTTATTATGCCCATCTAAAGTGAACTACGATAAACAAAGTCCCATGTGTGCTGACAAGAAATAAAGTCGTTTTCTGCAGCAAATTGTGTTTGCAGTGGTGGCTGTTTCTCCGCCAGTCAGATCTGGAGTAAACAAAATATCAAACTATATCCTGACCTGTGAAGACAATAGGGGCCACCAAGATCACAGCCTCCCATGACCCAATTTCTGAGGGGAGAAAGAGAAAATTCGCTCAGGGAGGCATTCGTTCAAGCTTCTCCTCTTAAAGCTGGAAGAACAAAAACAAACATGGAGGCACAGGGCACAGAGAGCGGGGTCCGTCATCGTTCGGTGACCGTCTTCTCTTCATCATATCGAGGCACGTCCTCTTCAAAGAGAACAGCTGCGGGACTTGTGCAATCTCCCTCAGTTGTCTGAAGGTGGAGAGGAACCAGCGTGTGTGGCATGTCAGCGTGCACTAGGCACAGTTCTAATTGTGGTGAAGGTGCTACTTCTTCTGATTTACAAAACAGCCCTATAAGAACTCATTTTTCAATGGAGGCTCCAAGAGTTAAGTGTCTCGCCCACGGCCACCAGCGCAAGTCATTGGCCAAGACTTGGTTTGACCATCTATGAAACAGGGAGAGTAATGCCCATCCTGTATATCTGACAGGAGTGTTCTGAAGATCAAAGGAGAAGATATCTCCTTACTTTGCGTACGTGTGTGCGTGCACATGAAATGCTACACAAATGAAAGATCACTGTAGCTAGAGTGTAGATTTATCTGTACATTCACCTGCTGGCTTCCTTTCTTCCCTCTAAATGTCAAGTATTTTAATGTTTAAACATACCCAAAGAATCAGGGTCACCAGGAGTCGGAGCTGACTTGACAGCAAGTGATGACAACAACCAAAGAATCAGTCCTAAAACCTCATTCACTGCAAAGGGGAAATAAACAGTTCCAGCTCCACTGTTAAACCCCTGGTGACCTGCAACATATGTGCCGAGTCCCGAGCCTAAGCAGTCTCCTCATCTATGGAACGAGAGGGCTGCTCTGCCAGGCTCCAGGGGCCCATCTAGCGTGGGCATTCCATGATTCCAGACGGGCTGCGATGTCACCACAGGCGCTGCTCTAGAGCTGCATGTTTACAGGGCCACGTTTCCACTCATCCTCTCTCTGCCATGTTGAAATGCAGGCTCCCAATCCCTTATCCAACATCCCTGGGTCTGATGTGTTCAGATCACAGATTTTATTTGCATTTTAGAAAGGCAGCATATACTACGCCATGCACTTTCCTTTTATTTGTATTCCTAGCCGGGCTGGGGTGGCACCCTGTAATCAATTCACTAATGCTTCTTGAGCCAAATGTATGATTATTCACACTCAGAGAGATCAACAACGATTATAAGGAGTCTCGTGTCAGTTCAGGTCAGGTCAGGTGTTGCCATTAAATGAGTTTTATAATGGGAAAAAACTGAGTTTTCAGAGCCTTTTAGATTTCAGAATTGCAGAAAAGGGAAGGTATGGCCCCCCTGCTGCTGTCCTACACACCAGGGCACCCAAGAGCAACACAGCTCACCCTGGCAAGAGAGAGACTTAACTGCCAGCAGAGTCACTCAACATTCTGCAAGGGAAGTAGGACGGGACACGGTGAGAGGAAGGGAAGAGGAGGAAGTGTGTCACTTCACTGTCTGCTTTAGCTCCGCCACATTAACGAACACTTCTGAGGAGACTTATCTTCCTGGCATGTGGACTAGCCCTTTGCCTGTTTCTCTCAGGTCCGCTCCTGGCCCCTTCCCCTGCTGCGCTGGCTCAGGCAGGAAGCTCATCCCAAACACACTTCCCAGGCTCCTGGCCAACTGACTTCCAGTCGGGCTCACTCAATGGGAAAGACTCGCAGGAGACAGGAAGGAAGGAGGAGAAACCAGGGCCTCTCGCTCCCTTTCTCCCTCTCTTTCTGCTTCAAGGGGGCATCTCTAGCAGTGGTAGGGTCTCCTGCACGGTTCCAGCCCCTCCCTCTGTGGCGCCTGCTCTCGCCGCGCAGCCCCGCTGTACTTTCAGCAGCCCCAACGCCTGGGCTCCCATAACACCATACCCTCCCTTCGTGCCTGCAGATCCAGAGGCAGGTGGGCTTCCTGAAGCTGCTAGTCTCCGTCCTTAGCTTCTTTGTCACATCTTCAGCTCTTCCAACACCTTTGTAGCTAGTTTCCTGTATTAAATTCTTCCCATTAAGCTACCTGGCATGTGTCTCCTGACTACACTCTCGCTGACACAGTGTATATCAATAAAATTACTAAATTCTGCTTGGCAGTCACAGTGGTATGGCTGATGCTGTTCAGGATTTGTTCAAGGACAGCACAGAGAGGCACTCTTTACCCCGACACATACTGGTTGGCAGAGTTTTGATCTTTAGGCTGTAATTTTAAACCAGCTGCAGACAATGCACGGAGTGAACGATCACCCATGTAAAACACTTATGTTACTGCCGGATTTCACAGGGAACGACAAAGCCACCTCCCGACGCCTCCTCAAGTGCCCACCCGGCCCCCCACATACACACACACTGAAATGACACCTGTGAGAACGAGGGAGTACAGCACATTCTAGCGACTGTGCAAAATCACGCCACAGACCTGTGGGTGGAGAAGCCTTTGTGGTTGTTGATTTCATGCAA